CTGCTTTAAGCATATCACAAGATAGTGATGCAATGTACTACTAAACTTTTTTTATTCAATCACATGTGGTAGCAGTAGTGTACATGTAAGTAGACGTTAAAGATATGTTCAACCTTGACTGCACTACTTTGTTGTGGTTTTTCAGTGATTTGTTTGAATTTTAAGAAAATTTATTTGGTGTAAAACAGCCAACTTTTGCTGTTCTAGTTTTTGATTACTGATTGTTTGTTCGCATCCAATGACCTCAAACATCTCAAAAAGGTGATTAAAGCAATATCAGCTACTGCCCAACATTCAGTAACACATCTTTTGATATAAAAGTTGTCCATAGAGTTATAATTGATATATCTGGTATGGGATAACTCTTAATATTGTGGAATTAAATTTCCCAATTCAAGTTTGATTTGGGTGACCTGCGTGTAGAGTAAGGGATGGTTTGGGTGTGGAATGGGAAGTAATTTGGGTGTGAAGTGGAAATGAGCGGGTGGAGGGTGGTTTTTGAATGGAGGGTGGATGTATGATTTCGATGTGGAGTTGGGGATGGTTTGGATATGCAGTTGGGGGGCATTGGGTGTAGAATTTGGATGCTTTGAGTGTGAGGAAAGTAGAGTGGAGGTAGTTTGAGTGTAGAGTTGGTGGGTGGAGTGGGGGGGGGATAGTTTGAGTGTTGAGTTGTTGGGCTTTGGGCGTTGAGTTGGGGTGGTTTGGGTGTGCAGTTGGGGTGGTTTGGGTGTAGAGTTGTGGTAGTTTCAGTGTAGAGTTGGGGTGGTTTGGGTGTAGAATGGTTGCAGTTTGGAAACAGTACTACTCACCTCAAGTATAAGAGCAGTGAATAAGTTGATACATATCAGGACAGATGTAAAATACCATGCAATAAAATATAACTGTGACCAGCTGAAATAAAAACAAAAAAAAGTATATTATTATACATCTGTCGCCGTAACGCCATAAGTTACAGCGTGTCGTAATTTTGTGGGTATTTTCATCCTACCATATTAGGAAACGCGAATTCCAAATATGGAACAATTATGTGCATAGTGTCCTCTAATGATAAAAAAACAAACATAGCTGTCCCCAGGGTTTGACCAGACTCAACACAAAGAAGTTTGCTAAATATGTTCTAAAAAATGTGTAATAATAAGGTTATTACGAGGATACTGCAAAATATGCACTCAGACAGTACTCATTCGCATCAACTTTTGCTGCACGTCAGTTGATACTCCCGCTGTACTGTCTTCATGCACACTTTGCAGTATCCTTGTAATAACCTTGTAATATTATATTTATTGAGTGTGACAGCCATGAATAAATATAAATAAAACACAAAAGTAGACAAAGAAATGAATGAATAAAAAAAAAAAAAAAAAATAACTTACGGTGATGTCACAACAGAAAACTCCTCTAGGAAGACCATCCAGTTATTGACAACCATAATATTCCAGAGGACAACCAGAGCTGCCTAGAAAAATAAAAATATTGACAATAAATAATGATTCCATATTTAATCTATTAGAAACACATCTCCATAAAAGACACATGCGAGTCACTTTGTTATCATGGACGACTGGTACAAGTCACACTTACTATTTTGTTGTTAACTTCCTGAACAGGCAAAAAAAAAATAAAAATATGTTTTGCTTCATGTCATTGTGCATGTAGGCTTAACACTTTTTTTTTGCAATTTAATTTGCATACCAGTAAAGTGCAACACATAAGGTAGAAAGAAGAAATGTTTGTGTTCTGTTTTGTCAATCTAAATAAACCTCTAAAGCAAGTATTCAAAAACCTTATTTTATAAATGTTAAACATGTTTTTCAGATATGCAAATGTAATATTTTCAGATATTCCTACATATCTGTCACCATAATGCCATAAGTTACAGCATGCCATAATTTTGCGC